TATGTGCTGCCTGTCCCAAGTCTTTCATATCGAAACGTGAGGACAACCATTCCTTTACTGAAATTAACATGCTCACATTATTTCCTATGAGCAAAATATCATCTACGTACAAAATCAAAAATGTAATTTTATCTTCATTCCACTTCTTATAGACACAAGACTCATTTTCACATTGATCAAAACCGAATGTCTTAATCGATGTGTCAAAACAAGTGTTCCATGCCCTAGAAGCTTGTTTCAATCCATAAATGGATTTCTTTAATTTACACAACATGTGCTCATTGTCACTTTTTATGAAACCAACTGATTTTGCCATATAGATGCACTCATCAAGACTTCCGTTTAGAAAAGCGGTCTTGACATCCATTTTCCATATCTCATAATCGTAATGAGCAGCAATGGATAAGAGAATCCTAATGGATTTAAGCATGGCTACCGGCGAAAAAGTTTCCTCATAATCGATTCCTTCTTTTTGAGTAAACCCTTTTGCAACAAGCCTAGTTTTAAAAGTTTGCACTTTTCAATCCACTCCTCTTTTTTTCTTATAGATCCATCTACAACCTATGGGTTTGACTCTAGTAGGTGGTTCTACAAGATCCCATACTTGATTAGAGTACATGGAATCCATTTCAGATTTCATAGCATCAACCCATTTATCAGCATCTGCATCATGTAGTGCTTCGTCGTAATTAGTAGATTCTGTATTAGGCTCTTCAGGGATTCTATCATAAGATTCTCCCAAGAGTGCAAACCGGAGAGGTTTTCTAATAATTCTCCCACTACGACTAGTCACTACAGGTGGAGGCTGATTTTGTTGTTGAATCACATCATCAATTCTTGGAACTGAAGCCTCAATGTTATCCTTCATACCTTGTGGTGCTGGGATATCATTAACTTCTTCCTGGAGTGCAGGTTGCATAACAATTCCAGGTTGTTCAACAATCTGAGATTGCTCAACAATCTGAGGTTGCTCAACATTACTCCCACTACTTTGGGGTAGTGAGATGTCAGGTAATTGCTCTTGTGCAATCTGCTGCCTATTGACATTTCTCCCACTACGATAATACAGTGGTATGTCAATACTAGCTTCTGGGATACGTTCTAGAGATGTGTCTTTAGTTACTCCATCGTTTAATTCCTGTAAAACTAGTTTACTTCTAGGAATATGGTTCGTTAGATAGTCCTCTTCTAAAAATCTGGCATTTGTCGTAACAATTACCTTCTTTTCTTTGGGACAATAAAAGAAACCGCCTTTTGTTCCTTTTGGATATCCAATAAAAATGCATACTTCTGTCCTTGATTCCAATTTATCCGCTTTCCCTTTCAGCACATGTGCTGGACAACCCCAAACCCGAATATGCCGTAAACTTGGCTTGCGCCCAGTTCACAATTCTACTGGAGTTGAAGGTACTGACTTTGAAGGAACCAAGTTTCGAATGTAGTTTGCTGTTTCTAAAGCATATCCCCAAAAGGAAGAAGGCAAATCAGAATAACTTAACATTATTTTACCATTTCCATAAGGGTACTATTTCTTCTTTCTGCCACACCATTTTGTTGTGGTGTTCCTGGGGAAGATAATTGAGATGTAATTCCATTATCTGATAAGTATTTTATGAATTCCGCAGAAAGGTATTCACCACCACGATCAGATCGCAATGTTTTGATATATTTATCATGTCGTTTCTCTGTTTCCGTCTTAAATTCTTTGAATTTATCAAAGCATTCAGACTTACGTCGCAACAGATAAATATATCCATATTTTGAGTAATCATCTGTGAAAGTTACAAAATACTCAAAACCACCTCTTGCTTGTATATTCATAGGACCACACAAATCAGAGTGAATTAATTCTAGCTTATCACTGGCTCTATTTCCTTTTGAGGGAAAATGTCTCTTGGTCATTTTGCCTTCTAAACAGGATTCACATGTTGGTAGTGACTCCACTTTCAATGAACTCAAAGGTCCATTAGAGACCAATCTCGAAATTCTATTTAGATTTATATGGCCTAGACGTAAGTGCCATAAATAAGTTTGACTCAATTCAGAAATACGTTTCTTTTATGTGGTAGATTAATGTTATTTAGTTCTTTTGGTTGTTGTAGCACATGAAGAGATATATCAAGAATAAAAAGTTCATGTACTCTAGCAGCAGTGTAGATAAAACGTTTATTAAACTTAATAACAGCAGAGTTATTAGAAAAATAAACATTATAACCATCATCCATTATTTTCGAAATCGAAATCAAATTCCTTCTAATAGAAGGGACATAGAGAACATCTTTTAAAACTAAAACTTTATCACTACTAAACGAAACTCTAATATCTCCTAAAGCTAAAGCTGGTGCTAGCTCGCCATTGGCTTGAAAAGCGCAAACTTCATTCTCACTTAGCCGCCACGTTTCCTGAAACCCCCGCAAAGTAGTGCAGATATGGTTACTGGCTCCCGAATCTACACACCAAAATATGGTAGAAACAGCCGCTAAACAAGTTTCAACGACATTTAAATTTGAATTACCTTGCTTATTCAACTTTGCCAGATAGGCAGGGCATTGATTCTTGTTATGCCCAGGTTGCTTGCAATGATACCACTTGCCTTTGGGCTTTTTCACACCAGCCGCACCACCAGGTGCCAGAACCTTTTGAGCCTTCTTCTTTTTCTTATTGCCTTTCGACTTAGAAACTGAAGCTTTCTCAACATTGAGTGCCACAACTGGAGCTTGTTGTTTGATAATAGATTCTGCCGCTTGCAGCTCATTCAACAATTTCGCTAGTGACAAATCCATTTTGTTCATATTATATTTCAAGCGAAACTGTTGAAAACTGTCAGGTAGAGTCTGCAGGACCATCTCAACTTGAGATTCCTTATCAATCACAACTCCAAGGACCTCCAGTTCATTCAGAAGACTCATTAGCTTCAGAACATGGTCCCTGACCGATGATCCTTTAGCCATCTTGGTGTTTAAAAGGGCTTTCATGGCTGTCTTCTTAGCTGCACGATTTTGCTCACCGAACACCTCTTTGAGACTTTCGAGCATATCATAAGCAGACCCTATAGACTGATACTGATATTGCAAAACATTCGCCATATAGGCAAGGATGTAACATTGCGCCATCTCATCAGCCTTAATCCATTTGTCACAGGCCTTAACCTGATCATCAGTAGCATTTTTTGGTTTTTCTGGGCACTCCTCAGTGATTACAAATTTGTAACCTTCAGCAGTTAGGACAATATCAAGGTTCCTTTTTCAGTCTAACATAATTCGATCCTTCTAACTTGTTTTGGTTCAAAATTGAGGTAAGTGAGTTGAATGAAGACATGGTTAATCTGAGAGATATTCACATTAAATAGACATTAGTTATGTATTTAGAATGATCAAAACGGCACATTACACATATAACCATGCTTATTGAACAGTTAGATTCGTTAGGAAAACTTAACTATGCATGCAAAATATATGAATGATGTAAGATATTAACCCCATAAATTTAAACAGGACCAACTTAGATGGAGAGTAAACTGTTAATTTAAGATAGGTAAATATCACTTTTATAAACTCTAGTTTCATTCAATCAACATGTAACTCAGTTGGAGAGTTAATACAAGTGATGAAATAACTAGAGGCAAAACTACAGTAATCATCTATAATGAATTTATCCGACGTGGAAGAAGACCTATGTCAACATATAAAGTCATTATATTACTGTAAAACATGATTGGAAACAATGGGAATTGAACCCTACCATCACAGATTTCTATTAATATTTTTTTTATTAAAAAAATTCCAGAAAATAGAAAAAGGCCAAAACTCCATCCAAACGACCCCGAATGCCCAAAAAACGACGTACATCATCAACATCGCTTATGAGTTTTTTTAAGTTGGGCCGTTTCCGATGAACCTACCAAATTTGAGATCAATTAGAATTCGACAGAATTTCAGAATTCTACGCGTGACTAGAATTCTATTTTGGTGTTTTAAGGGTTTTTAATTATTTTGACTTGTTCAAATCACATAATATACTGATGTTTGTTAACACATGATTTGAGAACTCAAAATAATTTTTTTTTTATTTAATAAAAACGTGTTTAAACAGAATTGTAAAAACAATATGTTTTCACTAGTCAAAAACGGTACTGTTCATAATTCTGTATATTAATCCAAAAATACAGAACTAATATCATACAAAAAAGTCAAGTTTATATTAATATAACACTATGATTATGAATAGAACGCAACTAAAATAGATTAATAGTATTAATTCACTGTTTATGCATATGTATATTAGCCCATAATTACAGCATTAATAGCATTCAAAAACACAGTCACATTTTTATCAAAAAAATTGCTATTCAGCAAAAAAAGATAATTCTAACAGACTGTTATTTAAACATAACACCACTGTTTATACATGTGTTGATTATTTCATAATTTCAGAATTATAGAATTAAGATACTAATAAATACAATCACGTTTTTAACATAGAATAATCATCCCAAACATGTATCAATAAATAACATGTTTTAATATTACTCTATGCATGTTGTATTACATTATCTAGTTAGATGTAAGACGGCGTCTGATACCAATTGTTAGAACATACGCAGTGGAAGCAAGCATACAAACCAGGCATCAAATACATGTGAACTAGACAACGCAATAGTAACGAGATTAGAAGCACTAACCTTTTGAAGCACTTGCACAAACCTTCCAAGTAGCAAGAATCCATGGCTGCAGTCTTCTGCTATTTGCCTAGTAAAACCTTGGACGATTTTGTTATTGGGTGGGCAAGAATAATACAACTGAAAGGTAAATTATTAGGTGAAAACCAGTCTTCCTTTAATAGTGTCACGACCCCAAATACCGGTCGTGATGGCGCCTATCACATTACTAGGCAAGCCAACCAGTCCTCTAACCACAACCCATTTCCTTTAGTAAGAAACCATTTGCAACACGAGTTTTAAACATTGATTTCATAATAAACGTTTAAAATGACAGAAAATATGCGGAAGTCAAAATAACAATAAACTACACAGCCCAACTGATCTGGTGTCACGAGTCCAAAGCCTCTAATGCAAGTCCGAACATCCTACTACATAGATAGTCTAGAAAATACTGAAAAGATAACAAGATAGAAGGGAGAGAACAGGGCTGCGAACGCCATGCAGCTACCTCGAAATCCCCGACAGAAAACTGAACCAGCTGAAAAATGCTCACTCGGCCGCTCGGGCACCTGGATCTGCATACAAGGTGTAGGGAGTAACGTGAGTACGCCAACTCAGTAAGTAACTAAAGTAAATAAGGTCTGAAAGTAGTGACGAGCAGTTCAAAAATACATAACGGAATAACCAACGAAATAACATGTCATCTTTACAGTTCAAAAATCAGTTTTCGTTATAAAACCACATTTCCAGTTTAAACATTTGGAACCAATTACTTAGCAATATATCAAATAGAGGCTTATTTAAAAAAAAGAGTGAAATTAGTGAAAACATCATGACAAGGACTCTCGGGCAAGGAATCACTCAGAATCTCGCCCTCGAGCAGCCTCTCAGTCACTCGTGGCTCAACTCTCATCACTCAGTACTCACTCTCAGCACTCGGCTCATTTATATCTCATAATAATAGAAATCATAGTAACTGCTGCGGCGTGCAGCCCGATCCATATATTTATAGTCGACTATGGTCACTGGGGTGTGCAGACTCCGGAGGGGCTCCTACAGCCCAAACGTTATATCGCTGCGGTGTGCAGCCCGATCCAATATATATATCGATGCGGCGTGCAACCCGATCCATAATAAATATACATATAATATCCTCACAATTGGGTTCTCAACCTCTCTCAGTCCTTAACCTCACAACCTCTCGGGCACAACAACATGAATCCGGGAACTCAGCCCAAACAGTCCTCACAATTAGGAGTAAAGCGATAAAACCAGTTTTAGCTTTTAAACAGGTAAAACACGATAGAGGATATGCTTTTAGCAAGTAAAGCGAGGAAAAACAGTCAAAATGCTCCTAAGGGTTTCTACAGGTCGGCACAAGGCCTCAAACATGGCATACAACCCATAGTACAATATAAATATCCAAAATACGGAATAACATAGTATTTCCAAATCAAATACGCAGCTTAATAGTCGCTACGGGACAAACCAGGTCACAATCCCTACCGGTGCACGTCCACGCGCTCGTCACCTAGCATGTGCGCCACCGCTTTTATCAAAACAAGTCAACTACCAGGGTTTTGTACCCTCAATTCCAGATTTACAATGGTTACTTACCTCAAACCGGTGAAAATACTACTCCGCGATGCCTTTGCCCCTCGGATCGGCCTCCACTCGCAACGAATCTATTCAAAATCAGAATCACGATGTCAAAATATGCTAATGGAACGAAGCCCAAGCGAAAACAATCGAAAAATACTAAAAATCCCGAAATTAGCAAAAACCCGAGCCCCGGACCCACTTCTCGAAACTCAGAAATTTTCACATCATTAGATTCCTTACTTCCCCACGAGTCTATACGTATCAAGAATACCAAAATCGGAGTTTAAATGACCCCTCAAATCCTCAATTTAAGTCTTCTTAAACTCAAGCCCTAATCCTTTATTTTTAGCCCTTTAATTCCTTTAATTTCAGTCTTAATTCATGAAATATTACCATAGAAGTGTGTTTTAGGTCCAAAAATCCTTACCTTAATGAAGTCCCTTTGATTCCTCTCCTCAAAATCGCCCAAAGTTCCCAATTCCGAGTTTAAAAATGGTTAAACCCTTAAAAAATCGTGAAGGAAGAAATATATACATTCTGCCCAGGCTTTTCCGCATCTGTGGCAGACCCACCACATCTGTGGTACCGCATTTGCGGTCAAAACTCCGCTTCTGCCGAAATTCATTAATCCAGCCTAAACCACATCTGCGGTCTATTAGTCACATCTGCGACTCTGCAGGTGCGGTCCCTCTACCGCATTTGCGGTTCCAGACATTCTTCCCAAGATCCGCTTCTGCAGCCAATCCAATGCATAAGTGGCGCCGCACCTGCGGTCCTCAACCGCAGGTGCGAAAACACCAGAAGCAGCAAAACTTTAGCAGCTGCAATTACACTACAACTTCCCCGTTAACCACCCGAAATCATCCCGAGGCACCCGGGACCTCAACCAAAAGAATCACATAACCCAATACCTTATTCAAACTTGTTTCAATTATCAAAACACCCCAAACAACATCAAATCTACCAAATCACATCAGATTCAAGCCTAAGATTCTAAAATCTTCCGAAATATGCTTTTGATCAAAAACTCAACCAAACCACGTCCGAATGACCTGAAATTTTACACACATATCCCAATTGACACAACGAAGCTACTGCAACTCTCGAAATTCTATTCCGACCCCTATATCAAAATCTCGCCTTTCAACCAAAAATTGCCAAAATATCAATTTCGCCAATTCAAGCCCTAGTCTACTCCGAACCTGCAAAACTCATTCCGATCACGCTCCTAAGTCACAAATCACCTCCCGGACCTAATCGAACCATCAGAACTCATATCCAAGTCCTCTAACACATAAGTCAACATCTAGTTGACTTTTCCAACTTAAGTCATCTTAAAAGAGACTAAGTGTCTCAAACTTCACCAAACTCATTCCAGACTCGATCCGACCAACTCAATACCACAAAATATGGATAACGAAGCATAAAGAAGCTGAAATGGAGGAAACAAAGCGGTACTCATGAAACAACTGACCGGGTCGTCACAAATAGACCCGAAATTAAGCCACAATAGGGGCTCAAAAACGTGTAGGATTCTGCATGTAGAATCCTACTCTAACTCAAAAAGATAACTTTCTCTCAATCTACTTTTTATCCAAGTCTGTCCAAGTTTTTACTAGGTATAATAGGGACCACAGAAATAATAAGAGGCTACTACTTATATTATTAATTCAAAATTGGCATGAATTAATTCTTACTATAATTAATTCCAATTTATTCCACTAAAAAACTGCAATTGAACTCCTCAATATGAATTTCGAAAATTCATTAATACTTATTTTAACTCCCCATGTTAAGATTTCAAATATCAGTTAATTAAATTAAATCACTGAAAATTTAATTCAATTAACTAATTAAATCCTTTATAATTCCGCTTAAACTATTTCATGTGATGGATACAAAATCCACCAGCCGAGTTTTCACATGAAAACTTATAAGCTTACATAAAGGGGTATCATCAAACCCAAAACCGAGTCATGAGTTCTATCAACTAATTATTATTCATAAATGCTATTCGTATTGTCCAATCTATTAGGCATATACTAACTCTAAATAGAGTCGTACCTTTTGATAAATCAAAACAATAAACAAATTACATTGATCATAATAACTATATCAAGATTGTGATATACGATAAATTATACGATAATCTTGTGCTACAATCATCAAGATATTTTGTCCAACAATATCTTTGATTGTGAACATAGTTTATTAATTATGAGAACCAACAATTTAATCTTCTGTGCATGAGCTAAGACTTCATACACTAAATTGTCTACCACATAACTAAAAAGACACACATGTAACAAATGATCTATTTAAAATAGTACTTTATTGAATTGAATAAATTAAATAAATAATTGTTCCATAAAGAATAAATTATAATACTATGTCTAAACTGCATGGTTAATAGTATATCCCAACAGTATTAAGAATGACAATTGTACAATTTATAAGAAGAATGTATAAGTTATACTGGTGCTAATTACCCCACCCTCTATAAGGTATAAGTTATTGCGTTGTTAAAATTAACTTATACCTGATTTGCTAACCAAACAAAGTATTAAGGTAGTATTAAATTTATATACCACCCCTGTACTTTCTTATACCTCATACCAAATGACCCCTTAAAGTGTAATAACCTTAAGTAACCACTATTTAGCGATAAAAGTGTGCTTACATGACATATCATGGATTTATTGATTTAATAATTTGCTTAAATAAAACAGAATATTTATAGAGAGCTCATTTGATCGACTCAAATTAATTTTGGATTTAAGACATAACTAGTATTAGCATCCGCGCGAATGCGCGGACACTAACCATGTAATATATTTGAGTTATTTTGATTATATGTAAATAATCTTAAAACTTAAACTTTCTCTATTAAATATAGATAATCATTGGGTATTAATTAAGAAACACTACCTTCAAATTGTAGTACTATTCCATAAGATTTCGGTTTCTTGATTTTATCCATGATATGACTTCTATTATAATAATTTAAAAATTCTACAAAATTCTAAAATATCTTATCTTTTTATTTTTAAAATTACATTATATTTTTAAAAATAATCCCATTTTGCAATAGTTTGTTTACATTTTAAAAAAATATTTTATGTCATACCAGTTTGTTTTTAAAATATACTTTTTGTTACACTTAAAAATTACTATAGAAACTATCAATTAGAAAGTAATGTCCCTCTTGTTGAATTCGAAAAATAACTTTCACATAATCTAGTGATTCAAAACTGATATTTTTCAACAAAAAATATTAAACCCTTGCAATGCTGGCTTGACTGCAGCTAAATGAAGAGGTTTCAACTTATACCCTTCAATTCCTAATAGGTACTAAATTAAAATTAATGATAGCAATTGTATAGCCAAAATTTTGTTATTTCTTTGATGTTAATTTATACAAATTGACTCTTCAAACAAATATTCTTCAAAAAGGAAAACTAATAATTTTTTTGAATATTGACTGATTTTTGTGATGTTTCATTCTCCAGCATGTAGGTAAACTTTTATATATGTAAGTAAACTTTTATTTGATTTTTAAACTCTTTTTTATTATCTGGATAACTATAGACGTGTACCCTATATATTATATTTATTTTAAAAAAAATTCAATTTATTCAAATATAGCTATATTATTTTAAGGAACTATAATTATAGGATTTTAAATGTGAAAGAGTTTTATAGTTATATGGAATAGTTTTTTTTTCTTTTTGCCATAGGCGCAGTAGTAGTTAAATAATCAGAAAAGATAACAAAAGTTCCTAGCATGATTGCATATAATCATTAAGCGAATTAAATATGATAACTTAACAAAACAAAAACAAAAAAGATAAATTTCTATTTTTATTTTNATATATATATATATATATATATATATATATATATATATATAGATTAATTGATGGATTGTGACCGCACCTATTGTGCTTTTAATTTTGACCTTCATTCGACATTTTCCGTCTTCTAACTTTTACTAGTATGGATTTATTAGGACTCTAAGAGTTTATCTCATATTTGTAGTTATCCCATATATGTGATGGACTCTTAATACTTATCTTTGTAGGTGATATACTTATCCCAATGTATGTATCCATATCATATAAATACAAGTAACAATGGCTCTCTAATTATTGAGTCATTTAATGAAATCTATCATGGTATCAGATTAGCCAGCAAAATCCTCTCTCATTTCTTCTTCTAAGCAGTCACGTTTTCTTCTAAATCTTTCCCTCAACTCCAGTACTTTCCCACACCATTTTTCTTTACTATGACATCATCTTCACCCTATACTTCTAACCCTATATCTAATCCTGACAACACTATTCCATCCTCAAGCCTTACTGATGCTTTCTCACCTCCCCCTTTAACGTTTTCTCATCTTATGTCATCCCTTTCTTCCATGACCTCATCAGTACCAAGCGATTTATCTGCTCCTAGTTTGCTTCCATGTCCTACTGCTTCTACTATGCCACCTATATTTCCATGTGCTAGTTCATTAGACTTAACTACTGCCTCAAATTTTCACTTTGTTATTGCACTAGCAGCGCCTAATGTCACCAACTTGGTAACAATTAAGTTACAATCTGTTGGAGATTATCACACATGGCGTACTCAGTTCACTTCCCTTCTCATATCTTATGATTTCCTTGGTTTTGTCGATGGTTCTATCCCTACTCCACCCCCGCTTCTTTGCGACGCTACTGGTTCGCAACAACCGAATCCAAGCTATCGCTCGTGGGTTCGAATCGGTCAAAGTGCTCGTTCTTGGATCTTTGCGACCTTGTCGCGTGAAGTTCTTATCGACGTCCATCTTTTACCATTTTCCGTGATATTTGGCTTTCCTTACACCATAGATATATAGATGCTATCCAAGCTAAAGCAATTGAACTTAAGAGACAACTCACTACTTTGAAGAAGACGACATCTATGTCAATTGATCAATATTTGAGAGAGGCAAAACAATTGGCTGATTCACTTGCAGTCATAAATTCTCTAGTTTCCTCGCAAGATTTCATCGATCATGTCCTTCTTGGATTAGGAAAAGAATACGATACGATGGTTGGTATCCTCACTCACTTCCCTGGACATGTATCACTTGAAGATTTATGTTCTAAGCTCCTTTTGCATGAACAACGGTTGCAAGAATCTGATTCTACCATCTCTCATCATGCATTTGCTACCCAGAATGTTCAATCAAATTCTTCTAATATGTCCAGCAATGCCCTTTTCAAGTAATCGTGGACGGGAAAGATCCTCATCTTTTCAAGGTCGAGGTCGTGGTGGAAGGGGCCGTGGTTTCTCTGGTCGAGGTCCCTCGCAACTGTCTACTCCAAATAATCTTGCTCGCAATGGTCCTACTGGTCAGCCTCTGTCAGGTATTGGTGGTGTTTCTCTCACTCCTTATAACTCACAATCTGGTAGTACATTCTCACCATCCAGTGGGATCTTAGGTCCCTCACCCTCACCCATTGCTTGTCAAATTTGTGGGCATCCTGGTCACACTGCCTTACAATGTCAAAATCGCTTCAATCATGCTTTCGTTGCTAATGATCTTCCTAAGTCTTTTGCTACTATGTCTGTTGGTGAACTAAATGACGCTACTTGGTATTTTGACACTGCTGCGTTCGCTCACATGACTCCATCTGAAGGTAATTTTATACAAAAGAACCCTTACACTGGCTCTGATTGTGTTTTGGTAGGAAATGGTACATTGCTTAACATTAAAAATATTGGCTATGCTCAGTTGCCTTCTACATCTCGTCCTCTACACTTACAGTCTATATTTCATGTTCCTCACTTCGACATAATTTGATTTCTGTTAAAAAGTTATGTAGGGATAATAATTGTAAAGTTGACTTTGATGATTCTTCTATTTGTGTGAAGGACAAGGTAACGGGGCAACCTCTCCTTCAAGCTTCCAGTAAAGGTGATATTTATCCATTATCGTCCTCGTCTGTGACTTCTCCTCCTCAGGCCTTTGTTGCTCTACGTCAATCCGGAGACATCTGGCATCGTCGTTTAGGTCATAATGGTAGTCGTGTTTTGTCAAGTCTTAGGAACCATAATTTTATTACGCTACTAAATTCCTTTAGTAATAATTGTGTTTCGTGCAAGTTAGGAAAGTCTCAACGTTTGTCCTTTAACTTAGTTGCTCACCGTAGTTCTTTTTCTTTAGATATTATTCATTCTGATGTTTGGCAATCGCCTGTTTTATCAAACTTGGGTTTTCGATATTATGTTATATTTGTTGACGATTTTTCTCGATTTACATGGTTTTATCCTATGATGAGAAAATCAGAAGTTTTTTAGCAGTTTTGTACATTTCAAAAACTCGCGGAGAACACTTTTAACACTAAAATTAAAACTTTTTAAAGCGATGGAGGTGGTGAATTTGATAATAAGGCTATGCTTCAACGTTTTTCTAACTTAGGTATTTCTTTTCGTAAATCATGCCCAAATACTCCTCAACAAAATGGGGTGGCTGAACGAAAACATCGCCACATAATTGAAATGGTGTGTACCATCCTTACAGATGCTCATTTGCCATCTCAATTTTGGGTTGATACTGCTTTTTACGCTGTTTATACTATTAATAGATTACCTACCCCTATTTTAAAAAGACTTTCTCCATTTGAAAAGCTTTTTCATACACCCTCTAACTATAGTTTTCTTCGACTTTTTGGTTGTGAATGTTTTCCAAATATATCTTCTCAAGTTTCTCATAAGCTTCAACCACGTTCTATCCAATGTATTTTCCTAGGTTATGCTTTTAATTATAAAGGATATTGTTGCCTAGATCCTACATTTGGTCGTGTTTATGTCAATCGCCATGTTGTCTTTCATGAATTAGTTTTTCCATATTTAGCCCCATATTTAGCCCATATACACATGACATCAAGAATCATGTCATGCGTATATGTACACAATTCACAACACTTCGTTTATTTAAGAAAAAGCTTGGCCAAAGTCGCGCAAACGCGTGCCTTAAATTTATTTGAAAAATTGTAATCATGTCAGGCAAACATGTACGTAATCAAGATAGTAATTTTAAAACCTGCACCTACAACATTTCTACGAATGTTCATTATTCTTGCTAAATTTTGAAATTATTGTAAGGCCCAAAATTACGGAGAAATTTTTTTCTATACCAACCTCCTACGGCCCAACAAATGAAGCCCAGAATTATCATAGGATGTGAATCCTTCAAATTTTAAATCAAAGTCCAAATACTGTATTTCCAGATCACTCACACCCAACTCTAAACCTCGTTCTTATGTGTCCAATCATGGTTCTTCATTTTTTATTTACTATTTAATACTTTAAAATTGATGCATGAAATTAATATCCTTCACTCTTGTATCTACTCACACATATAGATAAAACTAAGGATAAATTAAAGTAGGATCAATAATAAATAAAAAAACTAACAAAAAAAATGACAAAGCATGTAGCATTTAAGAGCGTATCTACCATGTTGGTGAAGTTAGCAAACAGTTTTAATGGGCAGAAACAAAATGATATTCAAAGCCAATATAGTGAGAAGGCAAAAGTCCAACCTTTGTATTAATGAATTCGAAGTTGAAAACTTACATTTGTCCGAGCCAAACAAATCCCCGACTATCGGAACGAAGATCGAACAAGAAACTAGCAACATCGGAACCTCGAACGCGAAACTACTCCGGCGACCACGATGGAACTCAAACTTAAAAATTGCTGCTGCATTTTTGAGAACGGGAGATGAAGAAAACCAGTGAAGGTTGCTGTCAGTGAGGAAGAAAGCGAAAGAGAAAGTTTGTTCGATTTTTTGTTCCCTTCATTTTCCAGATCTTGATCCTTTTCCCCCTTCGTATTTAAGTGATCTCGACCCTTTTCCTTCTCTGTTTTTTCGTTTTTGTATGTGTTAGATGTGTGTGTGTGTTTAAGTTGTTGGGTGTTCTGAGAAATCAGAGATTTGGCTGTTGAAGGTTCCTTCCAAATCGGTGGGGTGCCTCCATTTTGGGAGCTTCAAAGTTTTGGGGACTGGTTTTATGGAACAAGAGATAAGTTTCTATGGGATTTATATGATGAAGTTATGAAGAAAAAATGGAATTTTAATGTTGTATGGCTACTGTGATTTGCTTGAAGAAGTAGAAGGAGACTTTCTCGATCTTTTTTCCTCTCTCCCGTTTTTTAACCCCAATCCCTGTTATTTCCTCCCCTCATGCAGCTCTCTGTGCTAGATATATATAGCATGTGTGTGTGTCGTGCAGTGTATTAGTATGAGGATAAGAGTGGTGAGCTGTTTTTTTTTTGGAAAAAATTGTGAGAATGGATTTTTGTTTTTTTTTTGAAACGGAAATGTGCATGTCAATCCAAAATGTAAGAATGAATTGGAGAACAAGAAAATATGTGCACATGTGAAGTTAGTTACAATATGGATGGAGAAAAATCTTTGGCTACCTGTCCCAATTTTCATTGGTTCTTTTTTTTTTTGTATTTTTTTAAATATAATCCAAAAATTAAAAATACCACACTAATATTTTAAACTAGAAAAACAAAATAAGAAACTACTAAAAAAGTATAAAATTACTACTATTATTAGAAGAAAAATATATTTTTTGTAAATTTTCTTTTCTTTTGCAAATAAAACACAACTATTATCTCAAATGTGACTCTCTTAGTGTAATTTTAATTTTATCAAATAAACCTACTAAAAGTGAAATAAAGACTAAAATATCAAGATTAAACTTAATTAATATTTAAATACTAAAAGTAAGTGAAAAAATCAAATATGATAAAAAATTAGATGCTCACACAAATAATTCTGTTTTAATATTGACATGATTCAATAATTGGGGGATGAACAAACTTTTTGCTTAACTTATGCTGAATAGTATAAAAATTCATGTTTATAACATAAAAGATTTTTTTCCATTATACATGAAATTTGTTTAGAGTATTGATATTTTCGTCAAAATAATTAGCTTTTTATCTATATCATAAAAGATTTGCTGGCACTTTTAGACAAGGAAATCATTTTGAGATTTTTGTCAGATTTTATTAAGCTTCATATTCTCCTATTTTAGAGATGGATTATAATTCTACATTCTAATATGAAAATTTTCGATCCCCTTCAAACTACAGGGTATGTACTCTCCAAGAACGAAGACTCTAGCTTAGCATATGCTTATTGAGTCTCATAATTATGATCTTTGAAGTATTGCTTCAAAATGAATGTTCATAGCAATATATATATATATATATATATATATATATATATATATATATATATATATATATATATATATATATATATATATATATATATATATATATATCCCATTTATATATACATAACTCAGTGTGTTTGAAGAATTGCACTAAATTATAACGGTAAAACAAATAACAATAATTATGCCTCATTTCAAGACAGGTAATGTAACAACCCGACCGGTCGTTTTGAGATTTTGCACTTCGCTCGCCAGTTCTCGGGCATGACTAGCCCCGTGTGATGTATTATGACTTATATAAATCGTCAGTTTTTATTTTCAGGGTAACCAGAATGAATTTTGAAGAAACAGTTCTCAGCTTGAAGTTTAAGATTTGAAAGATTTGACCAAGATTTGACTTGTTAGTATATGATCTTGAATCGAAATTTTTATGATTTGGTTAGCTCCATTAGGTGATTTGGGACTTAGGAGCGTGATCGGAATATGATTTGGAAGTCCGTGGAAGGTTTAAGCTTGAATTGACAAAATTAGAATTTTGACGTTTTCCGATTGATAGGTGAGATTTTAATATAGTGGCCGGAATGGAATTCCGGAGATTGCAGTAGGTCCGTTGTGTCATTTAGGATGTGTGTGCAAAATTTCAGGTCATTCGGACGTGGTTTGGTAGACTTTTTTTTTATCAAAAGCGGAATTCAGAAGATTTTGGAACCTTAGGCTTGAAATCGATGTGATTTGATGGATTCGATGTTGTTTGAGGTATTTCGAAGATTTGTATAAGTTTGGGTAGTGGTATATGACTAGTTTGTGCTTTTGGTTGAGGTCTCGGGGGGCCTCAGGGCAAGTTCGGATGGTTGGCGGAAGGTTTGAAGTTAAGTTGGGACAGTTAAAACATATTGTTGTTGTCATAACCGCACATGCAGTTGGGAAGTCGCAGGTGCGATGCTCGCAGAAGTGGAAGGCAGCCGCAGATGCGGCCAAAGAAGAAGATCATCAGGAACCGCAGAAGCGGTAAAGTGGGCGCACCTGCGGTAGCGCATGTGCGATGTTTTTAACCGCAGATGCGGGAGTGACCATTTAAGTGAAAATCGCAGATGCGGTGGATTAGGCCGCAGAAGCGGGAAAAGGACCGCAGGTGCGAAAAGCTTGAGTCAGAAAGTATAAAAGGTTTCCTTCGCGATTTTGAGCTATTTCTTCACCATTTTTATTTGGGTTTGAGCTTGGAGAAGCCATTTTGAAGAGGAATTCAAGGGATAACGTCTGGAGGTAAGATTGTTCAACCTAAAACTCATTTCTATGGTATTATTTCACGGATTAGAGCTGTCATTATGGAAATCAAGGGTCAAAATTGGGAAACTAAGGCTTGGTATTGGAGATCTTGACTTGAGGATTTGAGGGGTCATTTGTGGTCGGATGTTGGGACTTTTGATATGTATGAACTCCTGGAGAAATAAGGAATCTATTGATGTAAACTTTATCGAAATCCGAGACGTGGGCCCGAGGTTCGAGTTTTGGTTAATTTTGGGATTTATGTTGTAAATTGATTATTTTCGCATGGGCTTCGTTCCCTTAGCATATTTTGACGTCGTGATTCTAATTTTAGATAGATTCGATGCGAGTTGAGGCCGATTCGAGGAGCAAAGGCGTCGCGGGCTAGAGTTTGGATTGGATCGAGGTGAGTAATGATTTTAAAAATTGTCTTGAGGGTATGAAACCTCGGATTTCACATTGTTGTGCTATATTGAGGTGACATACACGCTAGATGACGAGCGTGGGGTCGTGCACCGTTGGGGATTATGACTTAGTCCATCTCGAATGATTGTTTTGCTACGTATTTGATTGAAAACTGTTTACTATCATCATGTTTTGGGCTGAATGCCATATTTGGGCCTCGTGCCAACTATTTGGACCCTTAGGGGGTCTTTACTGATATTTCCTCACTGTTTTGACTTTATACTTGTACTCAGGCATGTTATATTCGACTGTTTTCATAACTCAACCATGTTTACTTTATTTTAATAAATTAAACGGTAATTTAAATGATAATTTGGGTTGAACATTATGTTTTACTGTTGCCCGAGTGGCTTATGAGATTCTGACTGAGTAAGGCTGAGGGTTTGCGTTGTGAGGATACACTGATTTATGATTATGAGGCCGAGGGCCTGAGTTGTACGCCACAAGGTGGCTTGATATGAGGCTGAGAGCCTATTAATTATTCAATGAGATGGCTTTATATTGCGCTTGGGCCGTTAGGGGCCCCACCCGGAGTCTGCACACCCCTCGTGAGCGCGGGTACCCATTATGATATGAGATATAGCCCGAGGGGCTGGTGTTGTTCCATGTTGTTGCCCGATGGGCTGGTTCTGCTGGTATTGTGCCGGAGAGGCGACTTTTATGTGTTTATCTCTTCTAGTTGCCTGTCATTTACTTGTTTAACTACTAGAAAGGTGTTAAGGAAACTTATTCTGAACTAAGGTGTTTTTATAAGATTTCACTGTCTCTTTGCCTTTTAATGGTTTTACACTGCTTCTTTATAGCATGTTGTTGTGTTTTATGTGATTTCTTATCACTTAGTTTTCATTTATTATTATTACTCACTGAGTTGGAGTACTCACTTTACTCCCTGCATCCTGCGTGCAGATTCAGGCGTTTCAGGTCCTGCTAGTGAGGGTTGATTGCTCAGCAGGGTATTCGGAGTCTACTAGGTAGCTGCTCGGCGTTCGCAGCCCAGTGTTTCTCCCTCTTATTTTACTTCCCGTGTCCTAGTTATGTAATAGCATGTGTAAACTCTTTCCAGACTTGTAGACTTATGATAGATGCTCATGACTATTGACACCCCGATATCGGGCTGTGTTGGTTTTACTTTCGCAAATTTTACTGTTTCACTATTTAATTGAGATTTTATCATGTTAAAAACTTAAATTTTGTATTTTAAATGTTAAAAAGAATTAGGCATTGTGTCGGCTGGCCTTATCTTCACGAGAGGTGTCATCACGACCGGGTCTGGGTTTAGGGTCGTGACAAGTTGATATCAGAGCCTAGATTACATAAGTCTCACGAGTCATGGGCAGCTTGGAATGTAACTCTTTGAATCCCTTGAATTCTAGGTTACGGCTCTTGAATTCTTATCGTGCGTCCTTGATTCAACTTGGAATGTAACTCTTTGAATCCCTTCCACGCATTCATATGCGCGCATGAGCGCTCCGTATCAGATATGCATCAATGGCTTGTGATTCCCCGATCGAGAGGCAAGACGTGATCTCTGTGTGTTGATGTTGGGCCAGTCTGGAGGACTTGAGGCCGGGTTTTTGCCTACAGCTTGAGCACTATGGCGTTGATTCTGTGAGCATGTGCTTGTGTATTTGTATGTCCGATAGTATCACTATTTGTTGGAGTGATGACTAGGTAGCTACGTGATGAGTATGATATGTGTGCGAGATGTATTCATATGATTTGGAAGCAACGAGAAGGGTCTACTGGAGGATAGAAGAACTATTAGGTGCTTGATCTCCATCTTGATTTGAGGTATAGCCCTGAGTTATGGGTGTGTGAAGAATCTTTTCATGTTTTCTAGTTGGGAAGTGAAGTAGATTTCATGTTGTGTTATAAGTTCAGACTCAGGAAGATTAAGTGACTGCATAATGTTTATGACGGTGGAAGGTATAAAGAAATGTTAGTTTGAGGCAAAGTAGGTGGATTATCTCCTGCAGAGTGTTCTGAAGTTGTGTAATCCTTATGTGATCTGAACGAAGATCTCTTCTACCAGTGAAATGTATGTGTTGCAATTTGAATTTGGGTCGCCTAAGAGAGTGGGCTTGACTGCTATGAGGGCGGATGCGAGATTGGCAGAAGATTTGAGGTACTAGATGGTCTGTATTGTACGAGCTTATGGAAGATTGATTTAATCTCACTATGGTATTATGGCAGTGATAGAGTATACGCATTAAGAGTTATTATGTGATTTGATCTATGGCTTTGAGCCAAGTGGGGGAGTCTGCTATTGATTAGGTGATTGCACGGTTATGTGCTACGTTGGTTCCAGTTTGAGGCGTGCTGGTAAATCAGTTATGGCTTGCAGAGGTTGAGACCGAGGATTGCTCGAGTAAAGGAAATTTCAATAAAGGTTATGCTATATGTTTATGGGTGTATGAGAGT